ACCTGATCATTACTCATAAGCGAAAGTGGTCAAGTGTTCACATATGATAATTCGGTCGCGCCTAATGTGAGGTCACTGGTGCAGTGGCAAACACGTCTGTCTCATGAACAGTGCGTCCGTGGTTCAAGTCCCGGCAGTGGCGATGATATGCACTACTGACGAGCTCTAATGAGAGCGAAACTCGAGTCTAGTGCTTCTTTTCGAAAGGAGCCGACTGGAAAGCCTATGGGAATGCGACGGCTGCGATCAATTGTGGGGGATGTTCAACTTGAAATGAACCAAATCCCTGACTGTGCATCAGTAATTAACCTAGTTAGTTCAAACGACATTCATGGATGTCTCACCTACTTAGAGTCATCATTGCCTATTCATTGGAAACAAACCACCTCGCATCCGACCCTAAACCCCCGCGTAATTTCGTGCATTGTCTACATATAAAGGCTGTATACTTTTCACTCAACCTTTCATGTGACATCCACAAATTGAATTATTTTCTACTTCCTGTTACTTGTAAATTTCTGTTGCTTTGTTTCTCCTAATTGTTGCTGGCATCCATGTGACTGATTGTCAGAGTATTCCTCTGTATGTGTGTGTATCTGAGTGTCAATTGGTTGTCATGTCTCTGCGGCGTGCTGAATACAACAATACAGCGATCGCTTGGTTACTCATATCTTTAAAGTGCACGGTTTCTGACAAGAGGATCCGAAGGAACGGTAGGATGTCAACCCAAATTGTGTGCCAGATGCAAACTCACTAAACCTGTGGACTGATTCGGCTTTTGGTTCACAAGACCTTAAAAGGGAATCCGATTGGAAATCTAAGATGAATGCCTAGTCCGTATAATTACTGAGACCTCAAAATAGGATCAGAGTACGCTACAGAGCCTGATACTTAGTATGCACCTCACCTGGCGCCTCATCGAACAGGCAGTGCATGTTCCGGCCCACCTTACTGAACCTGAGAACAAAACTCCTAGTCAGGAAAGAGTTACGAGCTCAGTTGAAGTGAGTGAGCGAATATCGCTTTCACAGCCGGTTGACAGTATCTATGTTGATAACACGAGGCACAGTCCTCCATCTGGCGTGACACCATCCAGTAAACATGCCGGTTCCGAGCTTCGTTTTGTTGGTCCAAATATTACCCCACTCTCTGTTAACCGTGATCAACCACGGAGACGATTGTAACCACGCTATTTCAAACTTGTGACACCCGCGTAATCACAACGGACTCACCTTTTCAGAGTGAAAGAAGAGAAGCAAAAAATCATATCCATTTATCTTGAATGACAATGTAAGGTAAACACCAATGATGAAGGGATTATCACACCTGGGGTGATACCAAGAAAAAAACTTGTGCGCAGTTGCGCATCGATCAGTAGTTGTGTTTAGTCCGTCTGGAAATGGTTCAGCAATGTTGACAGGTCTCGAAGAGCATGATAGAAGGGAGGTTTTAAAATTCCCTAAACAGTTCGGTTACCTTGATATATTCCCAGGGCGACTTCAAAGACTAAAATGTGATCCGACCGTAAGTGTGCTATGATACCTCGTCCGCTGCAGGTTACTCTTCATGCTATAGATGACTGCGAGAAGCTAACGGTGTTGTAACAAGTCAGCCACAATAGAAGTGATAACTCACTTAGGATAATCCCTGAACGATACAAATGCACACACCCACAGCCGTCGTCCATTGCTCAGTGAGTTGATGAACGCAGGCACATGAGCATTGTTACACGCAATGTGCCCGTAGCAGAAAGCTCTGATGTCGTAATTCAAGCAGTGCATTTTCTAGACCACCGATTAGCCCTAGAATCAATCGTCGGTCTCCCCGATTTAGCAGTCACTGGCGTGAATCGTCTGATACGGCCGGTGTACTTAGCCTTGGAAAGTGCCTTGACTACTGGGAGCAACCATCCTAACAAAAGAAGTGGTCGAGCGGAAGCAAGCATCTTGATTCGCATCCCGCTCATAGTTGCCTATTGGGAGCAGATATCATGCTGACAGACCAATACAAATAACTCCTGAGTGGAGACAACTGTATGTTATCAAAAACTCAATGTATATTTTCCTGAAACTATCCCCCAAGTGATCTTTATATAGATCTCGAATTCCGTTCGAAAGTTCAGAATACCGATCAACCGCCAGTTCACTGGGGTTGGAAACCTCAATGCACGTTAAAACAAACTGACTCAGTCCTTCTCACTCGATGAAGCTCCTGACACAGATTCATCTACTATGCCTAGTGTGGGCGGTGAACCTGCCCCTTTATATGATTTCTGCACCAACGCGGCTTCATGCTACA